TTTTGCTTCTCGCTGTGTCCTTCATTTCTCCTCCTCCTGCTCCCAAGAAAGCAGCAACAAAAACAGGAGAGACATCTAGTTGGAGTATCAGAACCCCCCCCCCCCCCCCCCACAAAAAGGTACACATCACGTCATGTTGCTCCAGCGTCTTCTCCTCCTTCCCTGAAGCCAGAAAGCAGAAAAACACAAGCCCCCCTCCTCACTAACTGCGCAGAGCCCAGAGGCTCCGAAATCCCTCCCGCCCACAAACAGCAAGAGCATTTAAAGATGTTGATGTAAACAAGGTGGGGGACACACACATGCATTCACATGAGATTAATATAGGTGGAGGAACATCTGTAGGTGTGTTTGTGTGTGTGTGTGTGCCCTCCATGGCCCCTGGCTAACACATTGTAGCTGGTCTCTGGTTTGCATGTTGTAAAGTCATCCTGAAAGATGTTGAGACACACAGGAAGACAGCTGTGGAGATCAACATCTGGGCTGGGGGCTGAGAGTATGAGGTGTGTGTATATCTGTTGCTTTCTTTTTATGTGTGAGTCTACGGATAATTGGATTCTGTTCCAAAGGAAAACAACATGGGATCACTCACAGTGTCTCCTTCATTCACTAAATCTGTGTTTGTTCAACTGTGGTTGAGCAGTGGGCTTGGCCTCCCCCATACGTGTAGGAGATAAGTTCTTCAAGTCACAGTCTCCCGTGTAAATGGAATTCCCTCATTCGTCAGTCCATGCAGACTTCATTCAATTCATTCAATTCAGCTTAGTTTGTGTAAAGTGAGATGAGATGAGATTAAGTAGTCGTTTTGGTGACCGCAAGGCGTGGGGGGTGTGAAAGGTGAGAAGTCTAAACATGGGACCCAGCAGATGAGAGAAGAAGGGCAGGCTACACAGGGAGGAGGAGAGGGTAGGTGCAGGAGAGGTGTGAAGTTTAAACATGAGGAGTAAGTGTAAAAATAATGAATAATCGGAGGGAGGTTAAGCTGAGCAGGACACACTGGAGGTGATTTTATAGATGTGTAAAAACTGGATTCAACACTACGTTAATCAGAAAAACATAAATATGTAGTGTAGTTTGCTTCCAGTGAGCCAGACTTTCTCATTTTATTTTTAATTTTTGGGTTAAGTAACTTAACCTGCAAATAGTTCAAGCATAAAAAAGGGAAAGGGGAAAACAAGGCTCAAGCGATGAACTGATTTAAACTGTACTTTAGATACTTTCTTATCAGTAGCCTTTCACAAAAACTTTTGTTTCCATTTATTTAGTTCAATCGATGAAAGATTGCAAATATAGAACAGTCTCACAGGCATACAATACAATAGAATACAACAGTGAAGTTTATAACCATCTGTAAACACGTTGGCGGTTTTGTCATGGTTAGGAGCTGCATGTCAGCCAATGGCGTTGGGGACCTTGTCATATCTGTTTAGATGTTCCAGATTTGATCCACCTGGAAAGTGTTTGATTGACGCTACACAAGCCCCTTTTCCATTAGTAGCTACTCAGATCGGTTTGACATGGATCGACTGGTTTTCCATTACAATTTAGTACCTCTTGATGGACGTGGTTGTCGTCATAGCAACGCGTCTGAGTGTCCCACAATGTAATCAATATGCAACACAAAACCAACAATAAAAGTGGACTTCGAGGCAAGATTATACCTGCTGCTCGGGGTAACACGGCGTTGTTCAGCCTCGTTGCTAGGTTTCAAAAATGTGGTTTTGATTTTCCTGAACGACACGCTCTCATGACTCATGGAATGACGCCACAGACTAGCCAATCGGTGGCATGCAGTGTGATGATGTCACGTTTTAGTACCTGCTCAGATCACTTGGAACCCTGGCTGAGCAGGTTAGGGTTAGGGTTATTTTTGCTTGTTGCCCATGTTGTAATCCGCTTTTGCCTCCACAGGTCAATACGTTCCAGGCTGTTATTGGTTATGATGAGACAGACTCATATGTCCTCTTCCTCTACCCTGAAGGCGGTCTGAACTTCTTTGGCACACTGCCTAAGGTAAGCAAACAAGAGTTAAGTCATCACTGTTACAGCTGTAGGGCAAAATGTACACGAGCAAAATGAACCATTGTATTTATAGGCAAGGCAAATTTATTTGTATAGCACAATTCAACAACAAGGTGATTCAAAGTGCCTTACAGAGACATTAGAAACAAAAACAAATAAAAAGCATGATTTAAAATTGATTAAAACAAGCAAACAAACTAACTAACTAAACACACACATTTCACACCTGTTCGCGCGATCTGAACCCTTATCGTAAGGGGAGCTACCAGTCCTTCTGTGGACGAGCTACTTTCTTATATCACTATTTTTATCACTTCACATAGCCACTGCTGCTTTAGGTGCATAAAGGGGTCAACATAACACCTGACCAGGGTTATGTTAGTATCTGTGTGCATGTTTTGGTTGCTCAGATTTTACATATTATTTTGTTCCTTAATGACTATTGAATTATTCTATATAGTTCCTAACTTTTGTTATTGTTAGTATTTGTTGCTAAATATTTGACAAATTATTTTATTTTATTTTATTTTATTTGAGAACATGGTTATTATGTTGTTCTGTTTTTTGTTTGTTTTTGTTTTTTTTTATTTTTCTAGGAGTCGTATAATGTTGAGATAGAGCTTCCAGCAAGAGTTGGCTTCAGCAGAGGAGAAATTCCAAATATATTAACTTCCCGAAATGAAGGCCCTTACTACAGTGTCACCAGTAATGAGCAGAGTGTTAAAAACCTCTACCAGTAAGTAAAAAAGGTTAAACCATAAATTTCTTTGCAGCCAACAGTTTAACCTTAGAATTAGATGTACGCAAATAATGACTTGTTCTATGATCAGAATCGAAACAAGTAACAAGATGCATACACACACAGTAATCGCTAAAACAAATACTGGTAAATAAATGTGTATGTAGTAAGAGCTTGCTAATGACAGTGCATGTATAGCACAATAAGGGGCAGATAGCTAATAATTACAGGTTGTAAATGTCAAGCTAAAATTAGTGACTCAAAAAAAGATGTTCACATTCATTGTTATGTGCCTTGCCTTATGTCCTTTGTTGAACCTTTTCTTCAAATGCTGTTGCAGGAGAAGCTTAGGACATTTATAACAACAGAAAATGTTTTTTTGTGGTGCACATAATTATTTACATCCTTCTGTGAATGTCTGATTTCTTCTGCTCTAGGTTTGGTAACGGTGGAATTCCAGGCCTTTGGCTTTTCCACACTGGAAACCGTTATTCCTTTGACAACATTGTACCTGCATCCATTAAAGGTCCTGTTTCTACTCCACCAACTGTAGGATATGACTCCCATATGGTAATTTTGTTATTTGCTTGATTTAGATTTTGGACGATAACAATATATCTTCTTGAAATATACTGTAGTGCATCAAAAATCTACATTTTCTGCCTTATTTGCTTGCTTATTATGCACCAGTCTACTGCTTTGTACAGTGTTGTCGGCCACTATTTTTTCTCCCCAAATGACCTCTAACAAGAAAGCCTAATTTCTGCTATTGAGTACATCAGAAATTTCAACTTTCATAAATCATTCCAGATTATGCTAAATTGCAAAATGCTTAGCCATGTCTTTAGTAAAACCTCTGTAACTTTGTGAAAAACAGAAAAGTTTGGTTTTCAATTTCTACTATAGAAATTTCATTTTTTTTTATGACTACAGTTAAAAACAAAACAATTAAAAAACAATTTAAAAAAAACAAATAACACAAAACTGGAAGTCAGAGCAATGAGCTACCAGAACTTTTACTTTAATTTTATTTCTTACAATTTAAGTCCAAAGAGCCGTGCTGACAGATTTCTGTTATTGGCACATGTAGAAAAACAGTTAAATATGTAACTTCTTTACAGAATGGGGAGTTTCAGTCGTCCGGACCGCTTAAGATCAAAGTGGGTTGCACGTAGCCGCCATGTAAAATGAGTTTGACACACCTGCTGTAGAGCATCTCTGCCATCATGGGCTTCCCAACACACACAGTCAGACACAACATTCTTTATTCATTCAGTGTTATCTCTAACGCTTTTTTAACAGTGACATGTCCACTCAATTTTATCAGCTCTAGTAGCTCTTCTGGCTGCTAGTCCAAGTGATTGCTATACACACCTTGGTCCCAGCGAGCTACTGCATAAATAGAAGAGACATAATGAGACAATTGCTGACAGCTGTGCCAGCCAGCCCAAAGAGCCCTCTGCTCCAGCCCTCCCGGCGCTGAGCCAAAACCACACCCCGCCACCAAATACCCCAATCGCCCAACCTGGGATGAGGAGCCATCCGGCCTAAACTTCCTTTGCCCACAGAAGAGGAAATCAGCCACAACCATCTATACCTCAAGCCTTTGGATCATCGTGAATTTGAAAGGCTGTCAAGCTAGATATCGTTGGATGATCTGGGTGTTGGCATCCTTCGTGCAATGGAGCCATCATTCTGCAAAACATTGCCCGAACATAGGGTGAATCAGCATATCAGGAGATAACAGTGGAGGGCTTCAACTGCCTACAGAATTGCCAGACATTCTTTATCTGCTGTGCTGTATTTAGTCTTGCGCTCTGACAGCTTACAACCGATGTATACGGTACCTCAGTCGAATCCCCTCACCTGCAAACACAAAACGGCCACCTGCCCTCAGGGAGAAGTTAGGACTATGGAGCATGGTTATCCCCAGAGAGTTTATTTTACCCAGTCAAATGGAATTTAAAGCTTCCTTCGCACTGCTCTGTCAATGGACCAGGTCTGACTCACACTTTCGGGTGAGGTTGGTCAGGGGACTAGTTAGCTCTGCAAAGTTCATGATGAACCCATTCAGCTCCAAGAACCACCTAACAGCATCTGCTCTCTGGGCTTGTGTGAGATGGTCGTCACGAAGGAATGGCGGGAATGGGCCCCAACCCATCTTTGTCTTTCATCAAGCTCACCAGAGAAACAGGATCTGCCTGCCTCTGCACTTTCAGGCGGTATATTTTTGTGGCTCTACCCCTGGCAGAATGTGCTAACTCATAATTGACATCACCCACCCATCATGTGTGACCACAAAAGACCCTTACTACTTGGCAAGTACTTTTCAGCTGGAGGATGGGAGAAACACAAGTAGTTTACCTCCTGGTGTAAACTACTTGAGTCTAGCCTCTCTGTTGTCATCCTCTGACATCCTCTCTTCTTTTATTTTTGCTTGGACTTTTCTCACAGTTTTCTGTAAGTAGGTCCAACACCACACGTGGTTTTCTGCCAAACAGCATTTCAAAGGAAAAGAAAAAATCAGTGGAGGCCTGGGGCACCTCCTACAGTGGAAACAACAGTGGGTCTAACCACCAGTCCCAAGTTCATTCATCCTTGTGAATGAACTTCTCCTCAAACATCATGGAATTTAATGCTTTATTCACACACTCCACCAGCCCATGTGTGAGATTTGAAAAAATTGCCCTGGTCAGTAAATATTTCTTTTGGGATTCAGAATATGACCAGAAACAGCTCATGGACCACACTCTCAGCAGAAATTGAAATGCTTCACAAAGCCACCTCTTCATGATATTGTGTTGCATAATTCACCAAGACTAAAAACAAAAGGATATCCTTGTGCACTCCAGTGAAATGACCTGACTGGCATTCCAAGTAGGACTCATCCAGAAGAATTGGGTCATGATTTTATTATGGTTTTATCATATTATATCAGCACCACCAGCAACAGGATGCACATTTCCCACTACAACATCCCTAGTTACAGCCAGCTGGGTGTGGCCAATAGCTGATCTCCCACTCCCAGTCTGGAGTTGTGGAATTAGCAGCACTGGTCTTTATGGGAGTAGCCCAAGCAGTCCAGCACAGTCTTCCAGACATCTTTAAAGTTCCCCTGAAAAACCGCTGGTAGGCTGAGCGCTGCTGCCTGCCCTTCCCCAGACAATAGGGGAAGCAGCCACACAGCCTTTTCCTCCACCAGCTGCTTACCAGCCTCCAACACTGTATCCTCAAACATATCCAAGACCAGCTGCGGTCATACGTCTCCACTGTCTTGTGTGGCATGATCAAAGAACCATGGTAAGTAGAGGCAGTTGAGTTGCGGCCCCAGACCAGACCACAAGGTTTTCCAGCACCGGGTTGTGCCGCTCGGCCTGGGCCTGCAGTTCTTCCATCTGCCCTCAGTTAACCACCGCCTGCTCCTATTGCACAGGGGAAGTTTTGCCACCATCTGATCCAGGGCTTAGACTTGTTTAACAGTACAATCTGTTGGTGTGACCCTTCTTTGGGTGTTGGGTGGAGTTGGCACCAGTGTAGGACATTTCTACCATCTTGGGCTTCCCAACAGATAAGACAGTCAGACACAACCCTCTTGTTATGCTTGTTTTCACTGTTCTTTATCTTACACACTGTTTCTGATGTTCTTTTTAGATAATCCCCAGTCCAATCAGTTTTATTAGCTGCCACCACAACCTCAGACACCCATGCTGCTCTTTACTCCTCTGACTTTTCCATTGTTTTTCCTTCCAGGGCACCACCACCCCAGACTATGATGAGTTTGAAGAATATGTGGAGAATACGTTTGACCCTAATACCCAAGAAAGAGAAGATGATTATCCTTTAACAGGGAGGAACCCTGAATTCCAGCCTGCACCTGCTGATGGTGACCGATCAAGTTTCCTTCTACCGCAAAACCATTATGGGAGCGACAATATACCATTGACCTTTGAACCTGTGTATGGTTTCGAGCCACCAGAGAGGCAGTACGCTTCCCCTAATCCTCCACAGACAGTCGCAGAGGGAGGTGCTCAGCAGCCCCAGGAACAGCAACCACAGGTAACAGTGGTTCAAATGTGCAAAGAACGGTAGTATAACCCACTAACCATTTATCATGCACAACTTGGTATTATGCACACCTTTTGCCATCACAACTGCCTTAGTTAGATATGAAAAAAGGGAATTGAAACAGCAGGGTTGTCAGGTGTTAAAAAGATTTTAAATTCAAAGGACAATTTAAGAAAATATCATGGTCATAGTGGAATGGTGTTGTCAACAAAATAATGAGAACATAGCGCAGATCATAACTTTCTGGATTATGATATTTGTAGAGAATTACAGCTACAGGCTTGGATTTTATTGCTTCCAATGCCAGAACATATTTCTCCTGTGTCTTCCTCTGCAGCTGCCTCTGAAAGTGGTGAATGTGCACACCCCACATAGAAATGCTCCGCCTCTTTCCCCTGGAGCACATGTGGTCAGTGTGGATGAAGAACAGGTTAATTTTGACACAGGAGGTAAGAAAAAAACAATGAGTATTTTTCTTTTTTTAAAACTTATCAGCAAACTTTATCCTAAAGAAGTGCACAGAGCAGTCAAATCAATATGTGGTACCTCACTGAATCGTCTAGATACACTTTCCAACAGTTTTCCAAGTTACTTCATAGTGTGCTCGTTTCACGCTTAGGCCAAAATAGGCCATTTAAAGGACGTCAGAAACAAAAGGACAGCTGGTCAAAAGTTCAGTCTTTTTCACAGTCAAGTTGTCATAGTGATAACTGGGCAAGTATACACTTTGTTTTGTTTTTCATGCAATTTTATTTATTTATTTGTCTTTGGATTCCTGTGACAATGAAGTGAGTCACATGAGACTATGTTTTGAGGAGCCATTCTAAAGAAAGCCACAGCCAAAAATGTGCCTATTTCACACAGCCACGTTTTGAACAGGCACAGTCAAACCCATACACATATACAGAGAGTGAATTCTCATAGCTGTCCTCTTTTCATATCAGTAACTTTGTCACTGCATGCATGTGATGCATTTGGGGACATCTGTACATTGTAGCTATAACAAAATAACCTTGGTTGCACTTTCTCTACTCTTTGAAATTAGTTTCATGGAAAACGCTACCTCGCTGTCTTGGCCAGCTGCCGAGCGGTACCTAATACAATACTGCCGTTGTGCTGTGTAGCTACCAGGTGTGTGTGCTCACGCTCCCTCCCCTTCAAACTACTCCCACAGGATTTTGCCATAAATAAGAATGTGTTCTCAGTGAACCTCTTATATAAGGTCAAGCAAACTGTCTGTGTAAGTGAGTTCATCTTATTAGATCAGTTTGGGAAAAAGAAACAGTTTTTTCTGAGAAGCCTTCGAGATCTGTCGCCAAGTGTTTAATGTTCTATCTGACATTTTTATGCATGTTTTTAGGAAAACAAGATATGTCTTTAAGTGGAAACAGGCAGGATGGGATATGGAGCATCTTGCTGCTAAGGCCATTTTAGACCATATCTTGTAGACTTAAAGAATATCAGACTTCATGTACTACTATACGTACATAGAGTATTTGGCTATATTTATCTAATCTAATCAAATTTATTCATAAGCACATTTAAAAACAACACAGGTTGAACCAAAGTGCTGTAGATAATGGAAATAGTAAACATTCATAGTAAAAAAACAATGAAAGACTAGTCACAATTAAAAGCTAAAGAATACAAGTGTGTTTTCAAGAGGGTTTTAAAAAAGGTCAAATGTCAAGTGCTATATTTATGTGTTTTGAAGTTTTTAGAAAGCATATTTATATTTTTCGGCATTTTTATGGATTTGATGTTTATGAAACTTGGAGTACAATTGTTACGTCTTTGTCTCCCTAGAAAATTCCAACGTCCCAAAAAGAGAGAAAGAAAATGAGAAAGTCAAAGAGAACAATGCACTCGCTCAGGAGTTATGCAAGCTCCATGTGATGTTTTTTGTTAAGAGAAGTTACTTAAGCATGTGAGGTTGTGGTCAGACTTGAGCAGTTCTAATAAGAATAGGCATTTAAGGTTTCAATCAAAATATCTTAAGTCAGCAGTTTTCTTGCTGACTCAGTTATTTATTTATTTTTTTGTCGATTCAAAGAAAAAAATTGTGCAGCATTCAAGTCAGAGACACTTTCAACAAATAAACAGTCTTTTAGTTTAGAGTCTATTTAGAGCCGTAGTCAGAACATGTATATGCTGTGAAGACATTGGGTCTCATCTTGGCCACATCCAAGGACTGTTTATTACTTGGTATTGAGGTTTAGGTTAATATTTGGCTTAGTTTAGGGTTGTGGTTAGCCAGTGAGTGGTGAGGGTTACAAGACTACACAATGTATTATGTCAATGAAGGTTCTCATTAAAGAGGAAAGATGTGCATGTGTGGATGTTTGAAGCAGGACTGCAGCAGCTGGTTTTCTTTTCATATAGCATCTTGGAGTGTATGCATATATGTCTGCAATGTGTGTGCAAATTTCATGTTGTTCCACTCACCCCCAACCAGCTGCAGAGTCTCTTCCCATTAAAAGAGTTTTTCCTTCCCACTGTCAGTAAGTTCTTGGTCATAGAGGGTCATCTGATTTCTTTGTGTTATTGTAGGGTCTTTACTTTGCAGTATAACGCGCCTTGAGCTGACTGTTGGTGTGATCTGGTGCTATACAAATACATTTGAATTGAAGTTTTTGTACAATGTGTAGATTGGAGACAAAATATAAATTGTTCAAGTGAATCATCTTACCATCACTCATTTTCAGGTAAAAGTCATAAAAATAATATAGAATGTTGATCATTATAAAAGGTTTTTCATAAATTTTGCAGAAGACATTCACAGATGATACAGAGGGAGATGTTGCAACAGTTTGAAAAGATAAGACTTAGTCGGAAAAACTCTTCTCCCCCTAAACCATCAGCAATATGAAGGTTTTGTCTGAGTAGCAACACTTACTATTCAGGAGAATACTGCAAGTACCTGCGTCATAACAGAGAGCTTAAATGAATATGGCTGAGTGATGATGTCACCAGTGGAGCGCAAACTAACCAATGTAGTGGGTATAACTGAAGCATTAGAGTGGAAACATTAGGCTAATGAGTTTAAATGTCGTGTATTATCTATGTATCATGTATCCTCTAATCTTACTTTTTTTCTCTCATAGTGATTCAATATACTACAGAGAATAAGGAAACATGTGCCAGGTATGTAAAGAGTAGACATGCAATTTAATTTGCTTACCTACACAGCCAATCAGACATTGTTGGTAAGATATTGAAAAGACATCAAAGACAACTTTGTTAGGTGTCTTAACAACACTGAGATTTGTTCAAAACAGTGTAAAGAGTAAAAGTTGCTTTCTCAGAATCGGAAGATCTTTCTTAAAAAAGAAAAGCTCTTTCCTGCAGAAATAATATTTTAAGTTAGTGTCTGCTTGATCTGACACTTGTCCATTCTCATGCCTTGTCTGATGCCATGAATACATATCAAAAAAGCACCGATCGTACTTAAAACTACAACTTTCTCCTTCTCATTTAGATTCCTGCAGCAGTGCTCCCAGAATGCATTTTGCACTGACTATGCCACAGGCTTCTGCTGTCACTGCCAACCAGGCTTCTATGGAAATGGACGCCAGTGTCTGCCTGATGGTTAGATCTTGGCCATTTTTTCTAAGTGCTGTGCCCATTGGTTGTCTTTACATATTAAAGCTGCTTTGTTGTGTGCGTTCTGTGCTGCTCATCCAGGTGCCCCCCAGCGTGTTAGCGGTAAGGTGAGCGGTACTGTGTATGTGGGATCGACTCCAGTATCGCTGAACAACATTGATCTCCATGCCTACATCGTGGTGGGAGACGGGAGGGCGTATACTGCCATCAGCGAGGTACAACCTGAAAAACAGCCCCATTAATCGTGTACAAGCTTCTTCTATATTGTAATTAAGATTAAGACAGCCAGTACTTTTTCCATAACAAATTTAAGGAACCAATCTGGTAAGCATTCAGAGTGGGGCTAACTTATCAGATCAGGAGATCAGGAGCAAGGTTTAACTTACAGTCATGAAAAAGAAAGTTTTCAGAGGACTGCACGTAGTCATGAGACAAACTAAGCATACCCGTACTGCTTCCACAGGAATTAAGAGGGTAACCCTAATACTTGGCTAATCGAATGTTTTTGATTAATTGACATCAGCAGGTTTGAGCACCTCTATAAAAGTTTTGTCAGTTTGCTGGTCTGGAGCATTGAGGTGTGTTAACATAATGGAAATCCCAGTGAATTCATTCCAATGTCAGACCAAGAACTACATGGGCATGCTGAGGCCTGTAGAGTCTGAGTCCATCAATGTTTAATGTCATGATACCATCGTTATTTAATAAAAAAAAGTGCATGTATGGTTTGCTTGGAAGTGTTATCAGGAGGAAGCCTCTAAGAACATGACAGCACAGCTTAGGTTTTCCACTTTGCATCTGAACAAATCACAAGACTTCTGAAACAATGTTCTTTGGATGGATGAAACTAAAGTTTGGCTATAATGCACAACACCAAATAAGGAGGAAACCAAACACAGCATATCAGCACAAACACCTGATATAGTGTCCATTGGGGGAATTCGATTCGAATTTTTTCAACCACAATTTTTTCAAATCCACCTTGGATTTAATCATTTTTAAGTAAAGGAAATTGAAATATGTTGGTTAAAAAGCCTCTGAAAAAAATGAACATCTTAATGTCTTGCGTCATTTACGTAAACTTAGTCAACTTAGCAAACATTATCCCTCTTGGTCAGGTACCAGAACCAGTGGGCTGGGCACTGATGCCAGTTGCACCCATTGGAGAGCTATTTGGATGGCTGTTTGCTTTGGAGCTGCAGAATAGCCAAGCAGGATTCAAACTGACAGGTAAACATGTTTGCACAGTTTTTTGCCTTGTACGTCCTGACTCTTGACATTCTGGAGAGACATGAGGGAACTCCTTAATAGCAAGGACATCGTGTGTCTGTTTCTTTGCATGTGTGTGTTTCTGGTCTCCCAGCCAGATGTAGTGTCTCCAGGGATGTGATGTGATATCAGTCTTCCCCCTCCCCTCACTAATGGGAAACAGCTGTGTGGTTGTGTTAGTGTGTAACTATTGTAGACACTGCACTTTTTCTGAAATGTAGCTTCTGCATGTTTGTTATATATAAACCAGTAAATAAAAGATTGATGATTATTTGTGTTACAAGGTGCTGAGTTCAGTCGTCACGCAGAGGTTGTATTTTACCCTGGGAACCAGCGCTTGTCAATTATTCAGACAGCCCGTGGCCTCGATGACCACAACCACCTAACCGTGGGTACTGTAATCAGCGGCAGTGTGCCCTTCCTTCCTCCTGGTGCTGAAGTTACCATGGAGCCCTTCAAAGAGACTTACCAGTACTACCCCTCAGGTAAAGTCAAGGATTGAACAGCATACATCATTCGATTGCCCTTTTTGTTGCTTAAAGTGACTCCATCTCTCTTTCTACAGTTGCAACCTCCACCTCTATTAGAGAGTATTCAGTGGTTACAGCAGACCGAGGGTCCGAGTCCTTCTCTTTCCAGCTGAAACAGAATATCACCTACCGTGACTGCCCACACAACAACCAAGCTGCCACCCCGGAGACTTTGCAGATCCTTATGGAGAGGGTGTTTGTCATGTTCGTGAAGGAGGAGCGGATCCTGAGATACGCCATCACCAACAAAATCAGCCCAGTTAGAGGTGAGACAAACTATGTTTACAGAGATCACACTTTAATAGCAATTCACAGGTGGTCCAGTTACTGTATATACTACATATTTACTCATATAATGTGTGAGTTTTAACATGGTAGTGTTTTCTTAAATCGACCATAGCAAGTAGTGCCTTGACCTGAAGTAAAGTGAACATTTGCGACTTGTCAAGCCTCTGACCACACGTAATGCAAAGTTCTTATAAAATCAAGTCAACAAATTTAGACACATAAACAGCAAACAACAACACAACACAACAGTAGTTTAAAAGCCTGAAGTGCTGTATTTATTTAAGTATTTATTGTCCAGCAATAAATAATAATAAGAATAACATAAAATTTTAGCTAACATTAGCAGGAAGAATTTGTCTACTGAAGCCTGTCTAGACAGAAATGTGCTCGCCAAGCGATTGCTATGGCCCACATCAAAAGGGCGTTTGATTCATGAAGGGACTGTTTGGTTTCGGAATAATATTTGTCTTTCCCTGCCGACAGAGACAGATTGCAAGCTCACATAAGAAAATACTGTCTTGAGTAGTTGCCCCTTGTTATAAAATTATAAAAGTATTCAGTAAATCAACTACATTTTCTTTACGCTGTAATTGCCAGCATGGGTGTGGTTAGCAGGCCAGCTGGCATTTTTTGTGCCAAAAGTGAAAAAGTTATCATTTTCATGATACTTGGTATATAGATATAGGTATTTAGTGCACATGCCATTCCCCTACTTGTAATATAAGATAAATAACGCATGGTACAATGGACAGTGTTTGCAAGGTTGCACACATTTTATGAACCTAAACTCATGAAAAGATAACTGACACTGCATGATACAGTCATACATGATGACCAAAAAAACAGGCTGTTCTCCAAACTGAAACAATTTAAAGTTTAAATCAACAAATCTTATGGTTCTAATGGCTAAATGGATTTCAGACCATCCCTGTCATCTGTATTTTATGATCTACCTGTTTGCGTATGGCATTCCATATGGACAGTTTCTGGTGAGGGGTTTTCACCCACCGCAAACATCTTCCTGTGCAGTCTTCCAAAACCCCAACTGCACGTTGCTGGATGCAGATCAAGCTGTCTGTTGTCGAATGCTAACTGGTTGACAAGTGGGCCGTAACAGCAAAGGGAGCCGCAACAGAGTTCGCCAGAGGATAGAGAGAAGCACACAAAACTCCATCAAAGATAATAATAAAAAATACAAAATGAAAACCACAGATAGTGACTCCAGTGGACACGTCCCATCATTTTTAACACTTGCTTTCACTTCAGCTCTTTGTATGTTATAACTTGGATGGACCAACAACACAAGCCAGACTAGTCCCGAGAATGGTTGTACCACATATTTTGTAACTTCAGTCTTTCAGCTTCAGTCAACGCCTACAGTGTTGGAAACATGACTTCTCTTCCAGAGCCTTTAACCATTCAGCTATTAATTATTGCAGGGTTGCCACAGAAACCTCAGCCAAACCAATGGCACAGAGTTGGATAGAGCACAGGTTTAAGAACACATGCTGTGGATTTACAGATTGAAACCATAGAAAATGTTGTCATAATGTCTCCATTTTCACTTCAGTGTCTACTATGGTGCAGACACACCAGACCCTTTTAAGGATAATTTGAACCACAGTTTATGTCACAGCTGTCACAGCTGTCTTTAAGGATTTTAACGAATTCAGCTGCAGATGAATCCAGACATGTGTTAACACAGTTAACGAAAAGAGCTGGTCAAGGAGTGAAAACTGTAGACAGGCCAACAGATTTTAATGAGAACTTAGCATGAGTGGGGAAAAAAATCTCAGAGTGTTGAAAAAAAAGATTTGCCTTACTGTTTAAAAGCACCTTCTGTTTCCAGAGCACAAGCCAAAACCACCAAACCAGAACTGGTTTGGTTCTGTGGAATTTGCCCCCAAGTTTGTGTTCTGCCTTATCGTCTGCAACCTAGGAATAAAAAAGTAATGTGCTTGGAATACTACTTAGTAAT